AAGTTCTTTACTTTTGTGAGCTCTGTGTTATACATATTTAAAACTCAGTGGTTCGCTTATGATTGTGACAAAAATCAGCTCAGTGTGTAGGAAGCAGACTCCTGCTGTGTCACAGTTGTGTAATAACCACCAATAGTATGAGATATTTATTTTGTACTAATTTTAGTAGTATAAGATTTTAAGTCTGTGAATTATTAATACATTATACCATTCTGGACTAACAGAAAGTGATGAGATAATGTTGCTATGCCAAGATACTAGGGTAACTAGGTGCCTGTTTTCAAAAACAGAAATCACTACACTTACACAATGGTTCAGTGAAATGGTGTTAAATTCTAACAGGGCCGTAAATTGTGACTTGTATTTGCGTTAAAGAAGCATAACAAATGTCTCAAAGTGAGCAGGTTCCCAAGGCTGCATGGTTAAGGATGTGTTTGAAAAAGCAGAGGTAGCACACTTGGCTTGGCTAACTGCGCTAGATGATGTAAGCTGGAAGCAAAAACACTGAAAAGGAAAAATGTTGCGGAAAACGTCATCACCCATCGCACAGGTTAGCTCTAGTGTTAACAGTGGCCCATTAGCTGATTTAAGGCAGCCTCTGTTACTCAAGCAAGAAGTGTACTTCAGTTGTACCTTTTAGTTTTGAAGTTGTCATAAGAAACTCCACAACTCCACAACTCCCAAACTCCACAAACTCCACAAGCTGCCTTTATGAGTTCCACATAAATGTAACTCGAAACCTGAAGTTGGTCAAATCTACCAGCTGCAAACACAAGACCAGCCATTGGCTGAGCTTTGCTGTTCTCCATTGACTCCAAAAGCTATCTCTCAATTCAAGGCTGCAACCAAGATAGGAGAGACCTTGCTAGCACTGGTATTTGAAGGTTCCTCTTCAGTATGTGCCTGTAAGGCCTGTACCGACACATCATGATTTATTAACATAAGCAATACAAGATAGAAAAACAGTTCAATTTAATATTTCATAACGTTTCATTACAAACCCTGGTGCAACAGCATTCCACCGTCTGTAAGAGTTTGTGGGTGATTGAAGGTCTCAAAGGATACACCAGTTGAGTCCTTCAAATTCTCAGGAAAGAAGGATGCATTTCTCAGCTGCATTTGAAGGATGATACTCAGCAAGACAGCCTTCCTCAGCTGCCTCCTTAACTCTGACACATTCAAAAGCTGAATGAAGCTTTCTTCCTTATCTGCTGTCCTTGAGTTTGCCTGGCTTCAATAAATATATTGGCAGATATTTATTTAGAGTAGTTAATAGTTCCACATGGCTACCAGATCAAGCACAATTAAAAGTCTCTTTTCACTATTTGGACCTAGCCAGTTCCCCTTGGGGGAATCCCAAATACTGTCTTAAGAGCCATTTTGTTACTATAGTAGCACAACTGTAGCGTGTTATACAAGTTTTGCCTTCAGAAGCAGAACTTGCCACCAGACACATTGACGTTTTTTAATAAAATAAAGGACAAAACTGTTTATAAGCTATAGTGGTAACCTACTTTAAAATGCTTATTAGTAAAAAAAAATTTCTGGGCTTTAGGTAGCAAACTAGTGATACAACCTAATTATTTTACACTGCTAGCTTGCTAATTAGCAAGCTATATGCTCTACAGCTAACAGCAACACAAAGAAAGGTAATAAACCATAGTTTTAGACAAAGCTTATAATCAGACAAAGCAATTATTCACAAAATTCATGCCCGCTGTGTTCAAATTTCTCAAAAAAATGTTTCATATTGCAAGGTTTGCATGGCTAGCTGAGTAGCTCAGTGAGGCTAGACTAGCAGAGAGCAGATGTGATTGAAAAATCCACTGCGAGTGGCCACTTGTTGGTGAGGGCGCATTTAAAAAAGTGTCCTACAGCCATCCGTAGCCGGGAGTCCAAGAGAGCACAATTGGCCTCGCTCTCTCTGGGTGGGTAGGATGGCCCCTCCTTCTCCCCCCATCACCCAACGCGATGCTAGTCAGCGCAGGCGTCTGTTAGCTGACGTAACAGATCTGGCGGTTGGCGCTTTCCTCCGAGCACGTTCGGCTGTCTAATGACGTTGCGTGAGCGGCAGTTCGAAAAGAAGCGGTGGCTGGCTCCACAGGTCTCGGAGGAAGCCTGTGTTAGCCTTCACCTTCCTAGCGTTGATAGCATCGTGTGATTGGGGGAGTCCAAATGGGACTAAATTCTCCTCTTGCTGCTGGAGTGTATCTTCTTCCTTTTTCAGGGTCATGTAAAATAGTTTATAGCATCAATTGCTTTCAGAAGAAAACCTCGTTTCTTCTCCATTATTGTCATTTTTCAGTCTTTGAATTTTAAAATGCCTGTTGTTCTTTACATTGTGTGTAAATTTCACGAAGAACGGACCAAAGGAAACGGCCTAAAATGACTTGGGGAAATGTCTGGTTCCATTGACTTACATTAAGAGTAAAGTAGGTTTTTTCCTTTTCCAAGTTACAATTTTACGAGGTGTTTTTTGCAAGACTTTTTTTTCCACTGCTGTTTCTTTTGCCAAGAAATCAGCAAAAAGAACTGTACAGAATGCTGAAACATGTGGAGTAAGGTTTTATTGGACTTACGCAGAGGTCTTAGACCACTCCGTAGGGTCTCCCACACAGTCCTTTTGCTTCAAGCCGATTCACAATGCATAAGGATGGAGCAAAAAATTTGGACCACCAGGGGGTCCCTGAGGACCAGTTTAAACAGCTACCAACTGATGCAACCAAGCTGTAAGACTGAACTTTGGAGGTGTGGAAAATATCTCTACAGATTTCTTTGAAAAACTGAAACAAAGCCTGAACAGAATGGAAACAGTAATAAAAGCAAAGAGTGGAAACACAGTGGAAAGATATTATACTTGTTGTTGAGGCTGCAGTGCGGTTTTCTGTTAAATGTAGCTGTTGAATGACTTGTACTGAATAGCAGGTTTGACTGGAGGTGAAATAAATGACAGGTGGTCTCCGACCTCTGCACAGTTCTCTGTTTCATAATCGTGTGTTGTATTTGGTAACCATGCTGAGTGTGTTTATAGTAGGGCATTTACAAAGCACGTTCTGTTTATTTGCTGTGATTTGGCAGTAAATTAGCTCCATAAACTTTGGCGCTTGCTAATCTGCTACAAAGTATTTGCTCAAAAACAGTTACAAATAGTGTTTTGCATACAATTAGGACTCAGCACTGCGAACATCTCTCATAGTCTGAGCTGTGCGAGGCGATGTTTTGTGTGTGTGTGTGTGTGTGTGTGTGTATCTCTACATTCTTCTTACGAGTCAGTGTTATATTCACAAGCAGCCTTTAAAATCGATTAGTGTGAGGCCCCGTGGACTCGTAAAGAGCTCAGTCTACGGCCGCTGGAGTTTCAGAGAGAATCCCCCTCAGTTCTGTTTTTCCTGTTCTGTGGTAATCCCACCTCACACACTCTCAGGGTCCCCTGTGATGTCACAGCACAGATGATGCTGCCTGCCTCCCCCCATCTCTCCATAAACACCTTTTCCACTTCCCCACTTTTCTTTTTTTTCCTCTCCTTCCTTGTCTTTTTGTTTCTGTTTTCTGCTTCTCTTCTCCTCTCATTTCCTTTCTTTCCTCCTCTTTTCTTTTCTTTTTCACTCCTCTCTTTTTCTGTCCTCTTCCCCTCTCTTGCCCTCTTTTCCTGTTTTTTCTTCTCTTTCCCTCTTCTACATCTGTTTATGTGTTGTATTTCCTCTTCTATCTTTTCTTCTGTCTTTCCATAATCTCTTCTCTTTCCCTCTGTTGTTTCCATCTTTCCCCTTTTCCTTTAATGCCTTTCCTTCATCTCTCCTGTTTTCCTGTCCTGTTTTCTTTTCCTTTATTCTCTTTTCTTCTCTTCTCTTCTCTTCTCTTCTCTTCTCTTCTCTTCTCTTCTCTTCTCTTGTCTTTTGTCTTTTCCTGTATTTCATTTTCTTCTCATCTCCTTTTATTTATTTTTTTCTCCTCTCTCTCTCTTCTTTCCTTTTGTCATATTCTTCTTCTCTTCTCTTCTCTTTTCTTCTCTTCTCTTCTTCTTTTTTTCCCGTTCTCTTTTCATCCTCCTTCTTTTCTTCTGTTCTCAGTTCATTTCTCTTCTTCTTGTTTTTCTGTTCTCTCTTTTCCTATCGCCTTCCTTTTTCCCTTTTCTTTCCTCTATTTCTTTCTTTTTTCTTTCTCTTCTGCTCTCTTTTCCCCCTCTCCCCCTCTCCTCCTCTCACCACTCATGTCCTCCTGCAGTCTCAGTCTGAGAGTGTGAATGTGCATCAGGCAGTTAATTCACACCACTCCCCTGTGAACAGATATAGAGGACACTGTGTGTGTGTGTGTGTGTGTGTGTGTGTATGTGTGTGTGTGTGTGTCAGAGTGAGTGCTTAAATGCACTGAGAGAGGCACCACTGTTGTTTTCAAACATGACTGGTCCTGATATGCATTGGCGTTGATGTAGATCCAAACATCTGTCCCTCTACAACAGTTAAGCTTTGTGTTTTTTTCACCGCCGCAGTGGGTTTGGTTTACTTTAAATAGAAAAAAAAAACAAAAACAAAAGCTGAAGTAGGCCATGGCTAAAACACTTCCAGCCCCAAGCCAAGAAATCATCATCCATCACAGCACTGCCACTCTAACACCCAGCCAACTAACCAGCATTTACATTCTCACATTCTTTCACTGGAAATAGAACCATTTATCTCATGCCTTCTCTCCAATCTCTCTCTCTCTCTCTCCCTCTTTCTCTCTCTCTCTCTTCTCTCTCTTCCATCTGAATTTATACTCCAATCCTTCACATCCTCCCCATGTCCTCATCTTCCTTTTTTCCTCTTCTTTCTCTCTTTTCCCATTTCTCAATCTCTTTACCCCATCTGATTTCTCTACTTTTTAATCTATTCCTCCTCTTCCCCTTCCTTCCCTCCCTCTCTCTGCCATCGTCCTGTCTGTGCTATACCTCCATATTCTGTTATCTCTCTCTCTCTCTCTCTCTCTCTCTCTCTATCTCTTTTTCCACTCCCTCTTTCTAGTCTTTGTATGTCCTGGGACCCTCTTGAGGGTCCAGGCGGCCAGTTCGCTGCAGGAGGCTGAGCACCAGTCGGGGGCGTGGTGTAAAGACCCTCTGCAGTCCGGTGACCGGCTCTACGTCATGCCCTGGACACCGTACCGGACGGACATGCTGTATGAATACGCCTCGTGGGAGGACTTCAGACAGAACCGGGCCACCACCACCTACAAGTGAGCAGTGAAACCCACCAGTGTTAAAGAAACAGTTTGGCCAGAACTGACCCCCCCACCTTACTTCAAGTGTTGTCAGTCTGCCAAGACATATTAGGTGTCTCAAGTTTGCTTCTTTAGTTTAGCACTGGAGCTCCAGGGCTAATGTCGCTAACATGTTATGCACCATTTAGCACTGTGTAAACTACTTAAATCATTAAAGACTCGCCTCAAATCACTTTTTCAGTCATCTCTAACAGACTTGCTTATGAGCTTATAAGCTTGCTTATGCTTTTTGTCTGGGTTCACTGATTTCAGCAGCTGATATCAGCTCAAATTACCAGGGGGCCACTAGCCAGGTGGTCTTCTTCAAAGAGGGCCATCTAATGTTTTACCATGTTCACATGCAGCCTAATAATCCTTTAATAATCCAACTAATTGCTCAATCGGAATAGAATCTGTCCATGTATACACCTCAGTCAGTATAGGTTAGTCCGATTGAGGCCATTCAGAATACAATTCCAATCCGATTGGTAATCCTGTAATTTGTTTGATAATTCCAGTCATTTCTTAATTCTGACACCTGCACCTACTGCTGTGTCCTGAATGAATCCACAAAGGCAGATTTAACTAACTATTATTCTAAATTAGGATAAGAGCTAAATTAGCTATAGCTAAATTACAGCCATGCCTGCTCAGTGCAGCGTTCATGCTGTGTCAGGTTTTCGTTTGAATGGTTCCTCTTGCATGCAGCACTTTGTTTCTGCTTTTAGCAACGCAAGCTGCACCCTAAGCTGATTTTAAGTAGCTTTGTTAGGTAACCAGACACAGTGTCTTGCAAATGAAGCTAATCTACCCATCAGATATAAAATTCAGCCACGGAAAATGAAAAGAAATGATGTGCAGGATAGATTGTGAATATGCGATGGGCCATATGAAGCTAGTTTGAGACCTTCATGCATCAGAGGTCTTCTAATTTGAACCATTTTCTGGTCCAGTATTTTGAAATCACTGTTAGTTAACTGACTTATTAGTGTAACTGATTGGCCAACGGATGTCGTACCTACCAGTGGCTGCAAAATAAAGGGCCAGAACCTGGATTTAAGGTCCAGATTTGAAGACTACCACACAGTGTCAGAAGTCACATAAGCAAGTCTGTATGTGATGATTTAGACATGCGGTTTGCACAAAAGTACAAAAACTGAAGAATAAAAATTCAGACAACAAACATATCTTGGCTGATCAGCTACATTTGAGGTAAGGGTAAAATTGTGTAAATCTGATTTTTTACCAAACTGCTCCTTTAAAGTACCACTTACAGAGCTAATATTGGGCTGCCGTTGGTAGAGAAGAGTTCTGTAGAAATTACATTATCACTTTTTTTTATTTTATTGTGAGCCCAGCAACTCCCAGTGCACATGCAGACCTAAGGCATGCATTGTAAAACAGGCTTCTACATTACTAGTCTGTAAACGTACATCATGAATTATAGCAGCAGTGATGATGGAGAGAGTTTTGCATCACTATGTATCATGAAACGCTGCAGTTTTTCCTTATTTTTGGTCATCAGGCCTGGTCACTCATTTCTGACATTTCCTTTCCTAGGTTGCCAAACCGAGTAGACGGCACAGGCTTTGTGGTGTACGATGGGGCCGTCTTCTATAACAAGGAGCGCACGCGCAACATCGTCAAATACGATCTGCGCACACGCATCAAAAGTGGAGAGGCCATCATCACCAACGCCAACTACCACGACACCTCTCCATACCGCTGGGGTGGCAAGTCCGACATCGACCTGGCCGTGGACGAGAATGGCCTGTGGGTGATCTACGCCACTGAGGCCAACAACGGACGCTTAGTGGTCAGCCAGGTGAGAGAAGTGAATATAAACAGTAGTGGTGTTTCCTTTTCGTTTTTGGTTTAGATTTTTTGAGGTTTTTACTCATTCATACCAGAAGAAAGTGTGACTATAAACAATAGAGAAATGGGACTTCCTTTTTGAATGAAACGGCTAAAATAGATATAATAGAGGGATCTAACAGAATACAAGTATTCGGAATACAGAAATAAAGTGTGTGTATTAAGCCAAGTTACATTTTTTAAAGGCAATACTCAGAACACAGTAACCTTTCAATTATTTAAGATAATACTTTTAGAATTTATGCCCACAAAATTAAAAATGTGTGGCTTAATTAAAAGAAACACCATTAATACTTGTTTATTAACTTTTAAAATCAGTGCTATACAGACATTTTCTAAAAAGAACTCAAAAAATGGCTTCTTGATGAATCTTAGAATTCCTGCTAAAGCCTGAGTAGACTAATAAATCAATGTGATGATCGGTTATTAATCTCAGTGTTACTGAGCTCTGCTGAGGCCTGAGTAGACTAATAAATCAATGTGATGATCGGTTATTAATCTCAGTGTTACTGAGCTCTGCTAAAGCCTGAGTAGACTAATAAATCAATGTGATGATCGGTTATTAATCTCAGTGTTACTGACCTGTTCATTGTGGCAGTACCCTTCGTCACTGGGGTGGTACCCTCAAGGGTACATCTCAGTACCTTTAGTCAGGGGACATAACTGTACCATAATACTTTGAAAATATATTTTCTAAGTTGTATTGACTCCACACACCCCGTCTCATCTTCAAGCTTTTTATTTTATTGTTCTGGTTTAAAACATTAGATTATGAAAAGGTAAAAATACTTACACAGTGGAAATGTAAACATATACTTTTCCACCGTGAAAACTTATTTAAGGTACACAATTGGACCTTAAAACCACTGTTGCACATTTAAGGGTACATTTGCATTGTTTGTACCTTGATGAATGAAAAATGTACCTGCACTGTACCTTTATTTCTAACGGTGTACAACATCTGTTTACTGATATGAGAAACAGTCACTCAATCAATGGAGCGAATGGTGAAAGCACAAATGGTGTTTCATCACAAGCTGGGATGAAGACTGGAAACTGTGCCCACTCTTTGGAAATCATGTATTTTTTTATGTTCAGGTTCATGTGAACCCTGCGTTTAAGTGATGAAAAGATTCAGTGATGAAAAGAGACTTATTGAAGGTAATAAATATGTTCTGAGGAATCTTATTTTGCACATTCATATAACTATAACAAAATGCACTGCCTTCACTGCCTCAGAGATATCAGACTTTTGCTTAAAACATCATTTGCAATGATTAACGTCTTTTGTGACACATGCTGCACCAGATAAACTAGAATATCTTCCGTCGCAGAATCTTGTACTCACACAACCTTACGATTCTTATCCTTTAATTTCCTCATGAATGCCTTTAGAAAACTCTGTAGAGCAAAAGAGTCTCTGAAAAGTACAAAATACTTTCATAACCTTGTCCTGAGTTCGATTCAGTCCCTATTACTGTATCTTTTCTCTCCAAAACTGTCAGCTTTGTGCATTTTCTTTTTTACAGAGTTTGAAAGGCTCTGTTCATTCCTATACAAGCGTAATATTTAAGGTGCTTGGGTTAGGTGAAATGATCAAAAACATCATTTTAATGATCTTTTGACTCAATATTTTGGTAAAGATGTTTTTATGGTGGTGTTCATGCTGAATTGTAGAGTTTTTTTTTTTTGTTTTTTTTGTTTTTGAAGATAGAAGCTTTTCTGCTGAATGCTACACACTATGTGCCTATCAACTTCAGCCTGTAATCATCACTGCAAAGAACCTCAGGTTGTTTTCTTTTTTTTTACGTTTTGGGATAATTTCATCATGAATGGACCAGCAGAGCCTTTGTAAAGCAAACAATTCACAATTTCTTTAACTTAACAAATGTTAAAGATGAGGTTCAGCCAAAAATCTAATTTACACAGTTTACCAAATGTAGTCAATCAGACGAGACATGTTTGGTGTCTGAAGTTTACTTCTGTAGTTTTGCACTGGAGCTACGAGGATAATGTAGCTAACCAGGTAGGCAACCAGTTAGCATTGTGCCTACATCATCACACATTTGTGTTAAAACACGTCAAGTTGTTAAAGGACCCGTATCATGGAAAGCTAAATATTACTTGCTTTTTAAATAAAAGATTAATGAGTTACCATTAATTTCCCAGTCCATACAGCCCATATAAACACTTATAGACTCTTACAAACACTTAGTTGCAAAAACCCATTTTGTAGTCATTGTTTTTGTGTTGTCACAAAAACCAAAACATTTACATGTCTCTAGCTTATAAGCTTACACTGTTGGAAATAAAGGTTCTGTGCAGGTATATTTTTTGTTCATCAAGGTACAAACAATGTAAATGTACCTTCAAAGGTACAACAGTGGTTTTAAGGTTCAATTGTGAACATTCAATAAGTTTTTCTAGGTGAAAAGTACATATTTGTACCTTTTCATAATCGAATGTTTTAAAAACAGAGCAATAAAATGAAAAGCCTGGAGACGAGACGGGGTGTGTGGAGTCAATACAACTTAGAAAATATAATTTCAATGGATTATGATGCAATTATGTTCCCTGACTAAAGGTACTGAGATGTACCCTTGAGGGTGCCACCCCAGTGACAAGAGGGGCACTGCCCCAGTGACAGTTTCATACCTTTATTTCTGAGAGTGTACAGTACTCAGAGCGGAAGTCATTTATCTAGTATCAGTCTTAAAGGTACAGTAACAAAAAAACACCTGTTTAATTCTTAGGTATAAACAGAGCTGGAAAGTGCTCATGTACAAATTAATTATGACTGATTTTGGTGATTTACAAAAACACATACAAACATCATAAGTGGAGCTCATGGGAAAACAAAATAAAATACAAATTCAAATAGGCTTGCTTATGGTTTCTGACACTGTGTGACATACTGTGTCTACAAAATGGACGTGTGCAGTTTTCACCATGATGCTAACCTGGCAGTTGGAAGCCTTTATCGCATGTTAGTTACTTCAGCCTTGTAGTTCCAGTGGAAAACTAAAGAAAAAACTTGACCTCATTTGGGGAACGGGGAAAATTGTACACATTCTTGGCTGAATCATTGCTTTTAAAGGTGTGGTATGTAAGATTAGGGTGATCTGTTAACAGAAATGGAACATAACACAAAACCATGTTTTCTTTAGTGTATAATCACCTGCAATTATGAATCGTTATGTTTTTGTTAGTTTCTTCATATCTACATAGGTCTTCTTCCAACAGAGGCTGCCATGTTGCGCCACCATGTTTTTACAGAGCGGACAAACCGAACTCTGGCTCTAGAGAGCACCTCTCATATTTTTATGCTGAAGCAGCAGCTTGAATCTGGTGGCGCTATAGCACCAGTTGGAAGACGTTGAAAGATGAAGAATCAGTGATTGCTGCCAGTGCTGGCTAACCATTTTGTGTTGCGATATATGTGAGAACCCAAATTTTGACAAATGGAGGATCATACTTAGTATTTAGCACAAGGAAAAGCAAGAGGGTGAATCCTTGTTGTCAAAGAAGCAAAAACATGATGGCCACTGTAGGTTCTACTGCACGCTTGGAAAGGGTCGGGTGAGGGAGGGGGATTCAGCTGGTTGAAATGTGCAACCTCACCTCTAGATGTAACTAAATTTTACACACTGGGCCTTTTCAACACAAAATTTCAACACAAATCAGTCATTGAGATAAAAACATTCACAGTGGTTTGAAGTAAAAATAATATGTCTATAATGTAAATATAGCCATTTTACACATACATTTAATATCTAAAATGACCAGTGAACCTGCATGTGTCTTCTGAGTTTTTATATATAATTTTGATGGTGGTAAAATAGTGGAAGTGGAGTTTTCTTTAGGCACTATTTTGCCTTTAAACACCCTGCATGTACATATCTGCTATGAATGGATTTAAAAAAAAAATGTTTTATTCCAAAAACCCCATCTCAGTATTATCATAAAACAACGCCTCAGGCGGTATATTCATAACCTTTTCAAATAATAGCTTTCTGCAAGGGAGCTTTTAGAGGCATTAAACACTTTGAACGTCTGGTTCCTATCACCACCACTGTGAACAAATCTGACTTAGTAAGTTTCTCTAGAACGGAGCATTTCACATCAGAAACATTTCACACTATTTGTGTTGAATAATGGGCATAATTCCAGTTTAGATTAAGATTAATTTCTCCTCTCCTGTAAAGTTACCAGTTTGGAGATTTTCCTAATACAGTGCTTTAATGCTGCCAGAATGAACTGAGCGTCTCCCTCTCTTTGGTCCAGGTGAATCCATACACGTTGCGTTTTGAAGGCACGTGGGAGACGACTTTCGACAAGAGGCTGGCGTCCAACGCCTTCATGGCTTGCGGTGTGCTGTATGCAGTACGTTCGGTATATCAGGATGACGACAGCGAGGCTGGAGGAGACCTGGTGCTGTACGCCTACAACACCAACCGCAACCAGGAGGAGCCCGTCCACATCCCCTTCCCAAACCCGTACCAGTACATCTCCTCTGTGGACTACAACCCCCGAGACAACCAGCTATACGTGTGGAACAACTACAACGTGCTGAGATATCCGCTGGAGTTCGGCCCACCAGATCCCACCACAGGTGAGAGAAAGAGGGAAAAGAAAGTGGTTACCGTGAGATTTGCTTTGTCCTTCCTTTTCAAATATAAGAGCATATCACAGACCAACACTTGGTTACCCCCTTAAATTTTAACATACTATTAAGTTATTAACACCTTAACAAGCCATGGACCTGCTTGCAAAGTGTTACTACACACTTCTGTAACCTAAGAATAGCTCCACTGGTTTGCATTGAAGTCCCTGTAGCTACTGAGTAATAAACATTTTATGTAATAAGCCTGGATTGTTAAGGAGTTAATATTATCATTCAATAACTACTATTAACCCTTATGTGGTGTTCGGGTCTGTGGGACGCATTTTCAATGTTTACCAAAAGATGATGTGATTTATAACTAATGACGTGATTGATCACTATTATTATAGTGTGTATATGTTTGTATATGTGTGTGCGTGTGTGTGAGGGTGGACAACATGGACAGGCTGCTGACTGGCTACAGCTGCTAAAGGAGAACCCTATGCTGGCCACTTGTGATATTTTAAACATCTGGTATTTTTACTTAAATTGTTATGGCTGTATTGATTTAACAAAACCACCAAACCACTGAGTAACAAACACATCAACACCACACAAGGGTTAAGCTGAAGTGTGGGTCCACAAATTAGTCAACAGCCATTTTCTTGGCCATTTTTTGTTAGCTTTTTTTAATCAAAGCACACACGTTTTGAGCTAAATGAATACATGATGTAAACTAGCACATTTACAGTCATTTCTTTTAGCCGACATCTCAGTATTACTTAACAAA